AGGCTCTCACCCCGCCAATTCCATATGAGACGGTTTTTGATGTGGATGAGGTCTTTGCCATCCCACTCTCAAAGGTCCATTCTCTGTCCGGTGAGGAGCGACAAAAAGAGACACACGGCATTGTTCTATGTGGGCTTGTCCGTTATGGAGCAATCTCGGCCGGTGATGAGCTTGTCATCGGGCCTGTCTTCAATACCGCTACGGAGCATGAATCTGGCACCTCTCCCCCAAAAGACCGGACGGATAGACGCTCGGACACACAGCTCTCCTCGAGTTCCTCCCGGAGTCGGCCGCCATCCGGGGACTTTTCGAGTTCGTTCCCCCATGGCTCTCTTCCCGGGAAGACCCCCTTTGCGGCGCAGGCAAGCTGGCAGCGCGTGCGGGCCGTCAGTGTCCGCAACCTGCGACTACCGGTGCAGAGCTTAACCCGGGATCAAGTAGGGACGATCGGGATCGAGCCCTGGCCACTCTCAACGGACGGGGAACGACCCCAACTAGGGAGAATCCGCAAAGGGTCCGTGTTGATCAAGATCCCGCCTGACTCCGCTCCTGCCTGCCGCAGGTTCCACACCGGTTTCGTGGCCAGCTTTGCGCCTGGCGAATTTGCCTCTGCGTTGTCCCCACCGGTGCTGCTGGGTGGCCATGCGACGGTCTACGTCGCCAATGTCCGCTCGACCGTGCGGCTGACCTGCATGGCGCTCGCGGAAGACGAGGTTATCTCGCGCCCCCCTTCACCGACGGAGCCGGAATTTTTCAGCTTCGATGGGGATGGCCCTGATCTGGAACGTGGGCGGGCGCATGGTGTACACGAGGTGATCAAGTCGTCGGGTAGTTCCGAGGCCGGTGAGATCAAGATCACCTTCCTGTTTGTCTCCTCGGTTGAATGGGTGGAGATCGGGTCGCGGGTGCTTCTGATGCCTGCAGTATCCACGGGCCTGGCTTCTACCCAGGGGTCGAACTCTTCTGGGACCGGGCTTGAGGGCTTTGTTGGTCGGGTTTGTGATGTGTTATATGCGGGGGATGCGAACAGTACATGATATGTTTTTATTTGAGGTTGATGCAGTATGTGCATATGTGCATATGTGCGCGATGGATGTCTTGCCCCTATTTTCGATCAGCTGTATCAGTCAACTTTCATGTACTTAGTGTTCATAGCATAGTTTATGATACGAAGAGAATCTGCATACCTCTGAAAGAAGTGGTGACGATGGGAAGCTGCTGGATACGATAAGATACGGGGGTAGATACGGCACTAGACCTGAATGGGAAAGGCATGCAGCGCTCAGACCACCACAGCGATCCTAACTGGAGTTAGACTGCTTTAGTTAGACTCACTGGCTTACTGCATGGCTGACGCCAAGTGGACAGGCTGAAAGCTGATCTTCCTCTTCACTACTCGATCATACTCTCATTGTCAACTACTTACTACCTACTACCTACCAGATGGTCCTGAGCAAAGCACATTGACAACCGGTCGATGATTGGCAGTCTTGTTTCAAATTGCGGCACGGGTTGGGCCTCGCTCGAACTGGCTGTGTTCCCAGCCGCCAGAACAGTCCCCATCTTCGCCTCTGTCTACCCCGGATCCTGTCCCGTCAGTTCCGCAGTTGACCACCAGCTCAGCTCTAATAATCTCCTGACTGTCTTGTTCCCCTTTCCCCCACCTTCCACCTGTACAAACTGCTTTATTTGACGGGTAGGATCTCTGGCACCCCTAAGCGGACTCTTGTTGTGGTCGGAAGTGACTGGCATGTCCTGAACCCCTCACCGCTCACTCTCCACGGACAGAGTTGTTAGGCAGTCCACTTTCAATCAAAACCGCCACCATGGCCGGACCCAGCAGCTTGAATCTCAGCTCTCGCGTCAGCTCCGATCTCGATGGTCTGTCAGATGAAGAGGAGGAATTCGTCTCCAGTGCCAGCACAACCTCCAGTGCGTATGAGTCTCAGGTGAAGGAGTCTTTGGATGCGGGGAATGCGAGTCCCCAGCAGCCGCAAGCTGCTGTCGGGTCTCCGGAAAACAACATCAACACCAATAACAATAACCACAACAACCCGCACAAAATTGGGGGGGCGAAGACCGCAGTAGCCTGCTGTGCTAGTCCCCATGCAGCTTCTCATCCGTCGGAAAGGAAGCCCTTAAACCTGCTTGACTTGCCCATGGATATACTGCAGGAGATCATGAAAGAGGTGTGTAACCCGCCCTGGGTCACTTGATGTCGACCCCCCACACGGCAACCATACTGATCTGATCGGGGATGCAACATAGGTGACCCATACGACTGATCTGACGTCCCTTGCATTGACCTGCTCTGCGCTTCATTCGCTGGCGATCCCACAGATGTACTCCCGGTTCGACATTGTCTGGCCGGAAGCCCTATCAACCTCCGACCATCCGGCTGGCGTGGATGCTCTCTCGTACGGGCTGGCCACTCTCGTGACCGGGGAGGACATATTCCGCGAGGTGCCTGGCCGACGGTCATCCCAGCCGTGTCCCCATTGCGGGTGCAGCGGAGCGCCGCCCGGTCAGCATGCGGCGAGCGCACTGCCGCGAGTCCGCCGCGGCAACTACTACGCGCAGTATACCCGCAAGTTCTCGGTCGGCAACGGGCCGTTGATGTGGGTGCAAGAGTACGCGGTGACCAAGGAGACTGGTAAGATGCTGGGGACGCTGGTGGCTCTGGCGGTGGCACGGATGGTGAACCTGGAGACCTTCGTCTGGGACATGCCCACGGGAGTCTTGCGGGATGTCTGGGTCGCGCTGGCGTCGCTGGCGACTCGCCCGGGTCACGAATGTCGTCTGGAACGCGTTTGGGTCCGCTGGCACGATAACTCCGACAATGCTCTGCGATCTTTGGTAGCTGCAGGCCCGACTGCGTCCTCGGTGACCTTGCCTCATTCGCCGGCTACGGTTCTGGGGTCTACCGGGAATACGGCCTTGTGGCAACGATACGGACACGTGGAATACCCCTCCTTGTCGATCCTTCCACCCTTGAAGAGTTTAAGCGTGTTGGACATCGACGAGCCGTCGTATCTGGAAGAGATGGGGGTGTTGGTCGAGCGATCGCGTGGCCGGCTGAAGGAACTCCGTATTGGGATTTCTCCCAAAGCGTATCCAGCGGCATGGCTGAAACCGGCAGGGAGCTGGCAAGCTGAGCAGCCAACGCCGCCGAATGGGATCATTGGTTGGCCCCGATCTGGGGGCGTACTGGGGGTCGTTCTTGGCAGGTCTGAAGATCATCACACTCGGCCCGAATCACAGACCCGTGTCTCTCCCACCAAGCAGGATTCTGTTGAGACGCCTCCTGAAACTAGTCAGACGGCGGGTGACGTGCCTGTCCACGACGGGCCCGTGTTGACGGCGGGTTCTCCGCCCCAACCGAACGATGGTGTCACTGGGCTGGCCCTAAATATGGAACACACGCACATCGCTAGCCCGCCGACGTCCTCTCCTCCAAGAAATCGACCCTCGACGATCCCCAGCGGGCCATCGGGGTCTGTCACGGGGGCACAAACGACGCCCGAACACGATCGTCCATTGTTGCAGCTTGAGACACTCGAGCTGGAGCGCGTGGCATTGTCGATCCCGGTGGCAGTGCATGCACTCGACTGGAGCAAGCTGACCACGTTGACGATCCTTCGATGCGAGAATCACGAGAAGCTCTGGCGGGCTCTGCGACGCCAGTTCACCCCGTCACCGTCACGGCCAAAGAGCGGGGAGGGTCCAGAATACACACTGCGACTAAAGCACCTCCATACGGATGCCGTATCGCCGTACCTGCTGCTGTTTATCAAGGATACACTAGCGCCAAATACCTTAGAGACCCTCTTTCTGCATGAGGCGCCGATGTCTGAGTCGATCGTCAACATCGACGCGATCTACAAAAATGCGATTCGTAATCACCACCTGAGTTTGCAGAAGATCCTGGTGGACAGCACCCAGCGGACGCCGGCGGGTGCGGAGATGGCTAGCGTGCGATGGTACAAGTGGATGTTCACGCGACAGATGATTACGTTTATGAGCAGTGGTCGGATGCCCCGGCTGAAGGAGCTGTCCATTGCTCTCCACGCCAAGGACTGGGTAAGCTTATTCCCCTTTCACTGAGAGCACTGTCCCGCTAATGCTGCCATAAACAGCACTACTTCATTCAGAGGCTCCCGTACATGCCCCAGCTCCGGGCCCTGCACATCCCGCACATCGCCCGCCACGTCCATCGGGACCCGAAAGAACTGGCCATGCTCATCCTCGACGTGGTCACGATCCGGCCGGAGATCGGGCTGACCTACGTTGGAGTTCAGGACAAATGCTACGAAATCTTGGAGGGGAAGGACGGCGAGAGCGGCGGCGAGTACTACGACACGGACGACAGCCACAGCGAGGGCTTCGTGCCCGGTGGGGAGGACTGGCCGGGCTCGGAGACCAACGATGAGGAGGAGTCGGACGACGACGGCGGGGCCAGCGCGATCCATACGCTGTCGGACTCGTCGTCGGACGACCGGGGCTCGTCGGACGGCGAGGACTCGGAGATGGACTTCAACCGGTCGCGCGTGTCGTTCCGGCTGCGGGAGATTTTGTTTTATGATGATAAGATCGCCATTTACAAGGCACGACACGGGGTGTTGTGATTTCTGGGGGGGAGCGTCGATGTGATTTGAGTCTTAAGATACCACCCAGCGATTTCGGATGCAATGAGATTATGAGATTGAGGCTGAACGTATGGTTTGTAGCTGTCTATAGTATCTGTAGTATCATACTAGTATGCATGCATAAGTCAGCTGACTCAGCCTGCACACGTTTCAGTAGAACCAAGCTCCCCACGTGATAAGGCGGTCAAGCAAGCTCAGCCTCTGAGCTTGCCGCCGCGATCTCGACATCACCGTACCGCAGCCAACCCACGCGGAAGTTCGAAGGAAGAATTGACCAGCCGTTTCGTCTGTCTTTGGATCGTCACACTCGCGTTATCGACTCGTGTCTGTGCTGTTGATTAGCCGCCAAGATGAAGCTCGTCCGGTAGGCCGTCGCCCGTTCTTCAGGGGAGTGAGGAAACACTAACAGGCCACCGGTCCGGACCAGGTTCCTGATGAAATGCGCCAATGAGACGGTGACGATCGAGTTGAAGAATGGTGAGTCGTTGCGTGGACTTGTCCTCTTCCTCCGTGGCTGGGTGTAGTAGACTGCGCAGACACGATTCCCCACCCCAAACCCAAGCTCAACCCTTCCCCAAAACAACCCCCGAACCCCCAACGCTAATGCTATGCAATGTGGTGTAGGCACCATCCTCCACGGCACCATCACCTCCGTCTCCCCGCAGATGAACACCAGCCTGCGCACCGTCAAGATGACCCCCAAGGGTCGCGACCCCATCGGCCTCGACACCATCAACATCCGGGGCTCCACCATCCGCTACTACATCCTGCCCGACAGTCTGCCGCTCGACACGCTGCTGATCGACGACACGCCCAAGCCCAAGAACAAGGCGCGCAAGGAGGCGGATCGGGGGGGACGGGGCGGGCGCGGCGGGCCCCGCGGACGGGGTCGCGGGCGTGGTCGGGGACGGGGACGGGGTTTCTAAACTTCTCTCAGCTTTTCTTCTTCGGGGGCTTTGTGGGCTTAGGAAGGGTTGCCTCGTTTCTGTGGTGGTATGTGAACTGAGCTGGCTACGGTGGTATGGTTCTGAGTAAGGGATTGCGCCATGGTGGTGGTGAGGATACCCTCCGTGGTACTATGGGTTGGGGTGGGGATTGCTCGTGCTGTGGGATAGGCCGGGCTGATTTAGAGGTTTATCTGTTTGCTACTTTTTTTTTTCCTTTTTCTTTTTGCAGTGTGAAAGTCATCGTCATCGTCATGGGAATATGGAGTTCGTTTTTCGATCTATCTCATTTCTTGCTTGTCCGTGTCTGTGTCTTCATCGGTTGATTCGTAGGATGGATTGATACAAGCTCTGAGATTTAGATTTCTGTGAAGAGCAGAGCAGAAATGCCTATCCAAGAATCATGACATTAATACCGCGTAATCATAAATCATTATCTATCTCTATCCATACCCAACCCCAAACCCATATACACACGCCCTCCACACCACAGAACCCCTCCTCAAGTCTATAAATCCTCCCGCCAAACCCTCACAATCACCAACTTCTCCCACCCCGCCTTCGTCCCACTAAACCCAGCCATCTCCGCGCACCACCGCCTCCTCTTCCCCTCGCCCTCCGCATCCAGCCCCTCGGTCCACCCCCGAATCCGCTCCACCACCTCGCGCGGCCGATTCTGCGCGCAGAGCAACACATACCCGACCCCGCGCGCGCTCAGCACCCGGGGCAGATCCGCCAGCAGCCGCTCCGTGATCTCCATCCCATCCTTGCCACCGGCGTACGTCAAGGAGAGGAGGTAGGATTCGCGCTCGAACTGCTCGCCGCGTGACGTCGGGTCTGCATCAAAATCCGCCGCCGTCGGGGCGCGCGGGACGGCTTCGGTGGGGACGTAGGGCGGGTTGAAGAGGAGGATGTCGATGCTCCCTGGTTTAAAAGAGGAGGCGAGGTTGCTCTGGCAGGAGGAGAGGTGTGTCGACTTTATTGAGGGGTTGGCGCTGGGGGATGGTGATTGGGAGCCGGGCGCAGCGTCGGTGTTGGTGGATGGGCTCGTGTTTGGGGTTGTCTGCTGCGCCGCAATGGCCTTCGCGACAGTCTCGCGGGTCGCCAGGCAGGCGGTGCGGTTGAGGTCCGTGGATAGCGAGAGCACGTCGCCGCGGCCGAGGATCGTGGGGCTGTTTGCCACCAGGAAGGCGAGGACGACGCCGGAGCCGGAGCCCACCTCTAGCACGGTGGGGGAGGGGACTTGCGGGGGGAAGTGCTGGGTCAGCCAGGCGGTTTCGCTGGCGGAGGAGAGTGTGTCCAGGAAGAGGTAGCTGTCTTCGGCGGGTTCGTAGATCGTGTCGAAGGAGACGTGCCCGGTGCAGGGGGTGGGAAGCATTTTGCCGTGAAAGGTGTGCCCGGGGGCGCAGGTCGGGAAGGAGGGAGTGAGATGGGTTGGTGATTGTTCCCAAAAATGTACAGAGTAGATCCGATGAAGACCGAAATCGATATCACGGCACCGCAGAATGGAGAGAAATCGTCGCCACGCGATTGGTGGAGCCCTCTCCCCGCCTTGGGAGTTACCGCGGCAGTAAACGGTCCGTTCGGTCTCGTCCGGAGGCTGCCCTGCCTGCCCTGGCCGTTGCTTCGACTCTCCAATGTCCACATCTCCAGTCGATTGACTTCATCACCGGCCAACAACATGCGCCTCGCCTTCCACCCTACCGCCCGCCGCCTGGCAACTGCCGCCTCCATCGGCTCCAAGTCCAGCCTCACCGAGGCCCTCGCCCTCCTCCCGCCCATCCCCCTCTACCGCCGCATTCTCCGCGTGCACCGCAAGAAGCTCGACCCCCAGATGCGCCTGCTGGGCGACTCGTACGTCCAGGCTGAATTCCGCGCGCACCGCAACGTGGAGAACCCGCTGCACATCGTATAGCCCCTTTGATGTTGTGCTGGTGTAGTTGGGCGGAAGCTAACGCATGGTCTAGATCGGCTTCTTGACGGAGTGGCAATTATACGCGCAGAAGCTGGAGGGCGATGCGTGGATCGGGGAGAAGTTGGATAAGGGCAAGTTGGATAAGATGAGTGGTGGGTTTCTGTCTTTCTCGGGTGATGCTGGTGCGTGCAGGCTAATTCGAGTAGATCAGCAGATTGGCCAGCTGTATGAGTTGATGCAGGCTATCAAGAATGAGGAGGGCGAGGGCGAGGGCGAGAGCGGGGATGGGAAGCAATAGGCTGGGTTTCTGTGTGGAGATGATAGTTGAGGGACCGTACTGCGGTGCGGAGGGATGTCCAGGGATGAAGAAGATCGTATGTAAGATTGTGAGATGTACTGTATATAGACCCACTGATGAAGAATGTAACCTGAAAGAATATGGAGGATCCTTGCAGACAGTACCTGTGAGGCGGCCTGGCGGTATGTACAGTACAGCCCTCAGTATAGCATGTGTAAGCAAGCTGCGGGGTAGTTAAAGGGAGAGAGCCTCGCAGCCCCTTCATACATCCATCTAAACTCCATCCTCCGCATTTCATACTCTCGAGCCGAGCTGGATTCACAATGACAATGCTCCCAGCGACCACCAACCCAGCCGCCTCCCCGCCCAGATTCAAATGCGTCTGCTGCAAGAAGAAGGGCTTCAAGACGGCCGAGGCGCTGCGCAACCACCAGCAAGCCCGCGGCCACCATCCTGTCGCGTGCCCGCTATGCCCAAAAGTGTTCTGCGATAAGCACGCCGTGCAGCAACACCAACACGTCCATCAACGGAAGGCGGCTGCTGCTGCTGCTGCTGCTGCTGCTGCTGCTGCTCCCGAAGAATCACAAGCTACAGCTACAACTACAACTACAACTGCCCTGAAGCAGGGACCTAAGCAACAAACGAACCCACCTACAACTACGCCCTCCAAGCCACAAACCACAACCCCTCCCCCCAGCATCCCCAAAACACCCCACCACCCTTCCATGCTCCACCCCCTCGAACAAGACCTCCTCTACAAATACCTGCTCGCACGATGCCATCCCCGCCCCCGCCTGCAAGCCCAGAACTACCCCCTAGCACAGGCCCCCGGAATAGACAAAAAGCCCACCCCACCCACCAACCCGACACAACCCCGCCGCAGAGCCGTGGTTCTGACCTGCGAGACCGAGCCCCAAGCAACGAGTTTGACACATCTAACCGCCACAGACTTCTTGACTAATGAAGCCCTCCTCCACCTAGAACTAGCTCCTGGGCCTGCAGAAGGGATGCAGACCGCTGCAGCAACAATAACAACAACAGCATGCACCGACAAGACCATCCGTGCAACTGTGACCGACGCCGATGCAGCGCGAACAGCACTGTGGGAGGTCATCGACGCGGACACGGTCCTCGTGGGGTATGGGCTGCAGCGCGGGCTGCACCTGCTGCGGATGGGGCACGAGCGGGTGGTGGACGCGGGGATCCTGACGGCGGAGGCGGTATTCCTGGAACGATCCGCGGTGCCGGTGCGGAGGGTGTGGGGGTTGGGGGAGTTGTGTGGGGAGATGTTGGGGTGGGAGGCAGCATCAGCAGCAGCACCACCACCAACCAAGAAAAGCAAGCGGAAGAAAGGCTCGTGTGACGGGTGGGAAGGGTGTGTGGCCACCAGGGAGGTGGTGGTGTGGTGTTTGCGGAATCCGGAGCTGTTGCGCGCGTGGGCGGAGGGCAAGGCTGATGGGGATTCGCCCACGAGCGAGACGGCGAAAAGCAAGCGGAGGAAGAACAAGAAGAAGAACAAGAAGAAGAGCAAGAGCAAGAAGCGCACGCAGAAAGAAGATGGACCCGACGAACCAAGAATTTGGACTACCGCATCACCGGAGCCAGAGACAACCCCCACACTTGAACCACCACCACAGCCTGAAGAACCGGACGAAGACGAAGACTCCGACGAAGGGCTCGAGATAGTCCAGTGGCAGGATCTGGAGTGATGTGTCCCCGTCTACAAACTACAACCTACAATCTACGGGTACAGTCCCATTTTTGATCAAAGATAGACCCTCGGCATCCCGCGCCGACCAGCCCCACCCACCACCCACTAATTTAGTCCAACCGTTGGCAACCAGTGAACCACAGATTGAAAGTTTTTTTTATTTGCAGTGTACCGTCCCGTAACTACTAGTCCCCTGAAAATCCTTATCTTATCGCCCCCCCCCCCCCCCCCCAAATAAATTTCCCCTTCTTCCCCGCGCATACGCCCTCCGATTGACATCTGCCCTTTCCTTTACTCATACCTTCCCTCTAGTCCACCCAGCACGAACTTATAAACCCACCACCTTTCCATCCCCATCCTCAATCCAGTCCTTACCCTAAACCAAACCAACCCCCCACAAAGCAAGCCAACCCCCCTCTTTCCCCAAAGAACACCCTCAAAGCAACGCAAAAAGAAAAAACAAAAAAACAAAAAAAATGCCCGCCCTCCTCGAAGACCCCCTCACCACCCTCCCCGCGCCAGCAGCCGCACAAACCGCCGCGCCCACCCTTCTCCCGCGCAAGGCAACCCTCAAAGACGCCACGCCCGTCACCCTATACCCCATCGCGGGCGGGCCAGCCACCGTCCCCGAGAGTCTGGTAGCCTACCTGCACCAGGAATTCAGCGCCGAGATCGTCCGCGGCAGCACGTATCCGATGGAGGAGCCGATGACGCTCGAGACCTTTAGGGGGTATTGGTTTGGGACATTTGCGGTTGTGGCTGTTGTCGATGAGGAGGACGACACTGATGGACAGGGGCTGGGATTGGTGGAGGGTAGGGATTGGGCGCGCGTGTGTTTGGGGACGTTTTATGTGAAGCCGAATTATCCGGGTATGTTTTCTTCCAATACCCCCACGGAGGGGAACTTCTTACAAGGGCCCTGTGGGGCAGATGGGAATGCTGATGCTGATGCTAACGTGATGACGGTGACGGTGGACAGGTCGGTGCTCGCATGTCTGTAACGCCGGGTTCTTTACGACGCCGGCGGCGCGAGGGCGCGGTGTGGGAATGGTGATGGGGCAGACGTATTTGGAGGTTGCGCCGGTGTTGGTATGTTCCTCCTTCACCTATGGGATTCCAATTGGGGGGAGGGCTGTGGGACAGACCCATACTGACGACGAACAGGGCTACAAATACTCCGTCTTCAACCTCGTCTTCGCCAACAACACCGCCTCCGTCAGGATCTGGGAGAAGCTGGGCTTCCAGGTCATCGGCCGGGTGCCGCGCGCCGCGCGCCTGGCCAACAGCACCGAACTGGTTGATGCGTTGATCATTGGGCGGGATCTGGTATAAACCTGAAGGGCTCAACTGTCTCTCGCTGCACCCCTGCATATCGATATACCCCAAGACGGGAGGCACCTGTAAATACTATCACCGTTTCTTCGATTCCCACTGTTTGATAGACCAGATAAATATAGATTACTGTACTTGCTCGACACCACACCAGCAAAAATGACACCGCTGAGAAATGCATGAGGGGGATATCAATCTGCAAAGACACGCAAAATCGGCTATATTACCATACAAACCCCCCGATCGCAATGCTCCAGTTTGAATTACATGACGGAAAAAAAAAGAACTACCCGGAAATATGTGACGACTAGCCCCGCCAGGGAGGTCGCTCACCCAGCTTGCTGCGCGTGCTAGGCGCATTGTCCTTGCCGGGCCGGCCTTTGGGCAATGGAATCAAGCTGATGCGACGGTTGCTCGCATGTCCGAGGGACGTTTCCGGACGTGGCGTCGGAGGCGCTTTGGTCGGACTTGCCAGCGCACGGCTATGATCTTGTGAGACACTGCGACTGAACGACAGCCCCGCGAAGCTCTGTCGGCTGCGGGGCGCGGTGGCCAATCCATCGGGTCGGCGCAGTTTGCTGTAAGGGGGAGGATCCAGAAGGGATCGGTTCGGCGTGGGAGACGCCACTCGCGATGGGCTGCGTGACGCCAGACGGCTGGATACCCGACTGACTGACCGCGCGCTCATCGGTGCCGGTGACACGGACATATCGCGGCGGTACGGAGTCATGGGCAGTGTAGAGGAAGGGCGTGATGTGCGACCCTGGGCGGACGATTTGCGGAAAGGTGTGCTGAGCGAATTCGACTTGTATTTCTCCAGGTCGTTGGTGTTGGTGCTGGTGGTCCACCGCGGCCGGTTGGCCAACGCGGGCGGCAGAGCTGGGGTACGAGGTACCGGTTTGCGTGCCGCTGGCGTCGGCGTAGCGGCCACGTGCTTGGTAGGCGAGGTCACCCCGAGCGACGCTTTGGGGATCGCCGATTTCTTCGCCGTTAACGTGGATGTGACTTGCGGCAATCCAGAATATCGTCGCACCTTCGACATGGTCGTGCGTGCCACCGAACTGACAGAGCTGCCACGACGGCTGGAGTTGTTGACCGGCGTGCTGGATCGTTTCAAAGTATTCGCCGGAGTCATGATCACCGATGAAGCCGGGGAGCTGCCGGGAGTCTCAGGGACACTCCCGGTCAGGGGGCTATCCATGGTAAGGATACTCGAGATCGAGTCGCGCAGGTGTTGAGACCGTGTGAAGCTGATGTCCTCCAAGGATGCATCCATTACCCGAATGCTCGCCTTCAGAGCATCGACCCGCGATGTCATATCCGACAACAGTCGTAGAGTCTCCCCATTGACCGTGAGACGGTCATTCACGCCTTTCTGAATGATCGACACCACCCGCTCAATCGCAGCAACGTAATGCTGTTTCTTAGCGTCGTAGCTTTCCACCCGTTTCGTGAATTGGGCTGGGTTGTGCACCTGAGCGCTCGTCTCGATGGCTTCCTGCAGCTTCCCAATGCTCCTCTCGACCGATTCGAACATCTTCTGCGCTTGATTGCCTGCGTTGCGGAATACAAGAATCCACCGGTCCTCGCTGAGCTCGTCCCGCAAGGCTTCTGCATCTGCTTCCAACCCTTTGTAGGCCTTCTCGAGCTGACTGCGTCGGTCTTCAAGCTCCTGGCAGGCGCTGGGGAATATCCGCACCGCCCGCGACTGGAACATGGACAGTCGCATGGGGAGGAAGTCGAGCGATGCCCGGAGCGGTTGGATCCTCGCAAACAAGGCGATCAAGTTGGAGTGGCTGGAGTCGTCCTGCGGCGTCTGGATGATAGGCATGTCCAAAGTCGGTGCCGTGAAAAGAGGCTCCAGACTGAACCGCTTGCTGGTCGACATGCGCCCACCTGCTGGCGTTTCCTCGACGATGGTCTCCAGCTCATTGATGTCAAGTCCCGTAGCGCTGGAATCCTGTTCACCCGCCATGGTCCAGTGTCGCTTTTCTTCCATCTCGAAGATGAGCCGACCGAGATTCTCCACCTCCACACCGACATCGCCCAACACATTGCTCCATAGTTCCTCCCACTCCATCGCCAGTTCCACCTGTTCTTTGACTCCTTTCAGTCGATCCTTGATTTGCGACCAGCTTTGAATGATTCCATCCATCTGTACAACGATCAAGTTCAATTGATCAGTGGAGACGTTTTCGATATCATCGCGCATCTGCACGTCCTCAATAGCCTTGACGTAAACGTTGATCAGACTCTCAAATCGGGTGATCGCTCCATCGACCCCGTCCAGCCCTTCTCGTCCGCCGGCAGCTGCCCATTCGACGTCATCCTCGGCATCCAGCCCGCTCAAGACACCGGATGCCTTTTTGATCCATATCTGAATCTGGTCCGCAGCTCCCGTAAGGGCCCTCACGGCGGCAGCAGCGGTTGGTATGGACGCGATACCAGCTTCGAGTAGGGATGGTTGGGGAAGGGAGATGGACGTGAGCTGCGAAAGCTGATTGCTAAAGGAGGCCCTTGAGAACGAGTATATAGATTCCGAGCGTTGCAGCCCCAGCGGGTTGAAGTAGGACTGCGAATTCGCGGATGAGATGGAGAGGGGGCGGGGAGAATCTTTCGGCGGTGGGGGAGGGGGGACGGGTTCATTGTCGCTGGTGCTCTTGAGGTACTTTTCGAAGTCGGTCGGGTTCGTGGACGGCATTCCATTCGTTGATCCGGGGCGGAGGGGCAGACGAGATCGTTCCAGGACAGCCATGTCGAGTAGTGGCTCTTCGCTCGCGTCCCCTTCCTGCTGTACTTCTTCTTCTGCTTTGGGTTTAGCTGCGACTTCGGCTTCCGGCACTGCTTCTGCTTCCACTTCTGTTTCCGCGTCTGCTTCTGCTCCCGTCTCTGTCCTTACTCCAGCTCCAACCTCTTCTAGGGTGTCCCCTTTGGAGCGCTCTTCTGGAACGGAAGCGATCAATAGCGAGTGTAAGTCGGGCTGTAAAACCGAGGTAAACACGTGCTGCTCTGGCGCTTGCTCCGAAAGCTCCCAAGCTTCGTCTGCGTCGAGCTCGTCCGCTAGTAGCTCTTCCGGGAGCACAGGGTCGGGGACCTCCAGGTGTCTTGAATCGCACGATTGTTGTTGTTGCTGCTGCTGTGAGTAGAATTGTTGCTGTTGTTTCCTTTCTCTGTGGGCGCGGTGCAGACCATTCCACGTGCGACCCTTTTTTTGGATCCTTATCGATAAGTCCTGGTGCAAGCTGTCCAACTCCTTAATGTGTTCCTCGGGGATGCGGCCCACGGCGCCCACGCGAGAAGGGCTGTTGTTTTTGCTGCTGCTGTTGCTGCCGTCGAGGAGCTTGACGCGAGCGGCAAGGCCGGGGGATAATCGACGGAGGATGGATGGGCGAATGAGCGTCTTCTCGGCGTTGGCGTTGGCGTCGCTAGTGTCGTCAGGGTCGTCGTCGTAGGTCGTGCTGTTGCTTCCCAGGCTGCGGAGACTGCGCAGAGAGGATTTGGATCTGATTCGTCGCGTGAAGGACTCATCTGCAGCGGAGATGGAGACAGCAGGAGGAGGAGGGGGAGGGGGGGAGAAAAGGTGCTGCGGCGGCGGCGGCGACGACGACGTGGTGGATGTGTTGAGCCCGGAATCCGGGGGGTCGGCGGTCGCAGTGGTTGCGGTTGCAATGGTTGCAGTCGACCCGGTGAACATGGCACGCATGGATGGGGGGGGGGGGGGGGGAGGAAATCCACGAGGCGACTGCGGTCGGATGTTGTTTTACTTTGGTTTAGGAAAGACAAGAAAGGGTACACAGTATGTATGGGTATTGGGTGGTGTGGGTAACTTGCGAAAGGATGTGTGGGTGTGAAGGACTGAGTGACTAACGCACTAACGCAGTCGTGCAGTAGAGCAATGATGAAGGGTGGGTTTAGGAATGTGGTTGATGGGCTCAGGATGCGCCAACGCGGCGGGTGGACTAGGAGTAACAGGCGTTAGGTATGCCGCCTATCCCCCCTTATCCGGTTTCAGCACAAGCCTGGGTTTAAATGCGTCGGGCCCAAATAGAGATCCTCAACTTGTCAACCTGCTCAACAGAAACCAGACCGGAGAGTCCCGGTGACATGATACTGAGTTAATATGCAACAAATTTGGGCAGCAGCAGTAGCAATAATGAATGAATAAAAGGTTTAGTGTATGAAAGAAGGTGAATCTGTACAGTACTGAGGGGTGATGACGAGGGTGTGGAGATTGACACAGAAGACAACAAATACGGGAGGTAGAGGTTCGGCTGGCCTCAGGCTCACTTGTGGTGCCCGACCAAGCCCCGGGCGGATCCTCCGCCCCCAAGGGCCGATTATCTGCACCCTTTCTTTCTTCCTTACTTTGTGTCTACGGAGTCACTACTACACTTAGATAGTCATGCTGGTTTGCTTCAATTGATATATGAACGTGCTTCAACTTATATGAAAACATTGTATTGAAAATCGTGTTGGAATTGAAAGCAGAAGAATGAATAAAGACTATTCAGTTCTCTGCTTTTCTACATGTCATGTAAATGGGTTGAACTACACCATACCTACTTTCGACAGGGGGCTACAAGCTCCCACTAAAGAACTAGTCATCAGGCGTAGCTTAAGCTGCCTGAGACCAGATCCCAGGATAGGGCTCATGATCCTTACCACATAGACTGCACGACCCCAGGGCCAACAAGGGTGAATAACCGTCCGGCCCATCCGCTCGGGATACCGAGCTGGCAAGCGGCCTTCCCAGCCGTATAACTCCTTCCTCCCTTGGCTGATGGCTATCACACCACTCAGTCTCCTTCGCGTCGCAGGCATTCCGCGGGACGACAGATTTCCACTCTGCAAGAAGCTTGTTCAGGGCAATCGAGTCGTCATCGTCACCGTTGAGAGCTGGGCTCGCTTTAAACCACCAGGGCTTCAAAGCGATGGCCCCATCCTCCGATGAGGATAGCAGCTGTTGCTCACTGCTGTACAGTCCCACCGTGGAGTAGACGTCGATGCAGCCATAGACGAGCCTGCAGGTCGGGAACCGGGCCCACAGCTCCTTGAAAGCGCGGGCCAGGGCCACCGTGCAGATGTCTTGGTGCACGCGAATGTGCTCCCCGGCCTGGAGGCCGAGGAGGCTGTTATCCCACTGGATCACGATGAGCCAGGTGCCGGGGGCGATCCGTTCAGCGGTCGTAGTATACGGACGTCGAGCAGGGAGGCGGGAGTAGTCGAGCCGCTCCGGACGCTGGATCTTGTCTGCAGGCACGATCAATTCGGAGACTGTGAAGCGCCCGCGACGCTCGTCGGAGTTGGCTGGGCTGCGCATGACTGTCTTGGGTGTTCCGGTTCTTAATTGAGATAACCAATGTTGCGAACAAGATCTTGCGGGAAGGATGGATGGGTTGAGTGTTAGTGAGATACCGACGTGAGGAACATGCTGCTCGCCGTCAATTTATAGAGTGCGGAGGAGATGTGTCCAGGTCAATTGAGAGTAGAGTTTCATTTGGCTCTTTGATTCTCGGTAGCTTTTACTTTGTTGATGATGCCATACTCATAGACTGATATCTTTGAGATGCGTAGTTCACTTATGTCCATTATGTTTGTTCGCGACCTTTGTTGTCATCCTATACTTCATTGAGCGCAGCAGCTTCTACATTGGGTGTACCAATAAACATAAAGTAAATGCTCCGGCATCCATGGGACTCGCCCGCGCGACCCAACCGAGGGCCTGATCTTACTCCAACCTCCAACCACTAGACTAGCCCCCGAGTTCAGCCAAATTGTCAATCGATGTGAGCGAGGTTTGATCTTCGTGAGCAAATTATTATGTTTATGGAGAATGATACAAGAAAGTATAATCTGAAACAGGATTGGGCACCCCCTTCTGCACAGGGATGTCGGCGACCAGTCCGACATTCGCCTGAGAGACGGAGTGCAGCCCATATTCCCGCGCCAAAAGTCGTATAGTTACAATGAAGGGCAGTGTCTCCCGTCCGAGCAGCAAGCAAGATCAAGCAATCGCGACAGAGGGGTGAAATGTAAAACACAAATATTTCCAACCTGACTGAGCTCAGACAAGCAAGGGGTATCAATGTGGCCAGAGCGGACAGCAAAAAAAGCGCAAGAACGAACCCACCGACCATCCCGTCGGTCTTCCCCTTCTCCCTTTTCCTTTACCCCCCTAAAAAGGCCCCTCTCTTCCCGTTCGTGACCAGGATCGATCACAATTGACGACTGAGCACCTCCTATCACAAAGGACGGATCACCAGATCGTCACTAGGAAGGCTGGCAGCCGAAGCTCGCCGCTCCCGCCAATCCCGCACCAGCTCTTCGCGGACCACCCTACACCAGGACAGCAGAGCGGTGTCGAACTGCTTCCAAGCCTCATCACTATTGCCCTGTACTACCCCCATCACGTCGATCTCGAGCTTGGTTTCCCATCGTAGCTCAGCCGCCTTGATCCAGAATCGCAGATTCTCGGCCATGCGATATGGCTTCCCGACATCCTGATGGTACGTCTTGATGTCGAAGACCGGCCGCTTGGAGTTTTTGATCGCGAAATTATGGGCCCGCACTAGGTCTCGGCCGTCGCGCAGACGCTCCAGCATGGCAGGCGGCGGTGAGTTATCCTCCGGAGCGGTCCATGCGGGCAGCTGCGCGTCGGAGCCGATTAGGCTGCGCAGGAACAACGTCTCCCGGTCCCGCTCCTTGCCTGTCCACTCCCCTTCCGTCCAGATCCATGCAGCTCGCTCTTTGGCCTCGAATGATTCCAGCTGAGCTTCCCGCGCCAGCATGTCGCGTACGTTGCCCATCCAACCTATGATGGCGGTACGCTCGTCCTCCCGAAGCCCGTCGGCAAAGTTCCGAGCGGCCCATCGCTTCATCACCTCGAGCACACTGAAGAGCTCCTTTCGGATCTCCCGCTTGTCCTTGATGGATGCCAGTCGCTCAGGACGCTCATGTGCGGTGTAGTAGATCTTCGCAGCCCGGATGGCTAAAGTGACAGCATCCAAGACACGCATGCCCTGAATCTCCTGCCATGTCTGAGGGACGGCCTCCGGAGGAGGCTGTGGTCTGGAGTCATCTTCGCTGTCGCCGGGTTCGTTGGATGAGAAACTGATACGGGGCGGAATCATTTCTGCCGGCGGATCCTTCTGGGTGTCGAGGGAATTAATCGCGCGATCGGCCTTTTCCATCGCTTCCATCAGGTCTTTGCGCAGAGCCTTAAGCTTCGGTGGCGACGGAATGTGGTGCGTCTTGATGCTGTACGTGCTCACGGTGGGTGGAAGCATTACCTCGACGTCCTCATCCATCTCGGACCCATCGTCCTCAAAGCCGGAATCGCGGGGGTCGATGCTTTCTTCCTCCGTAGGGCTCACCGTCAACTCATCGATGAACCGGGCATTAGGGGTCAGCAGCAGCCGGGGAAGCTCTTCTGGATCCTTCTTCTTTTTCTTATATGCACGGGCCTGGCCGCCCTTCCCATCCAGCAAGCCTGTCCGCGCAAAGTAGTATTGCAGATGCGCGATGCTCCCCAGGCTCATCACACTCTCCCGATTCTTGGCCGAATCTGCGAATTCGGCTCCTTGGGTACGGATGTAGCCTCGTCGCTTGGAGGCGGTCGAAATCGATGACCTGGCATCGGCAGAGGTAGCAGACGAGGCCGACAGCGAGGAGAAAGAGGAAAAGGTCCGGTCTGGCGACGGGCAGGAAGAGATGGCCGGCGTTGCTGGAACCGAGGGAGAGGGAGAACCGGCGCGGGCAGGGGGGGCGATTGATTCGGGATCGATAGAGTCATCCATGGCTGCGCACGTTATCCTTGTTGGCTCGTTCACTGGTGACGGTCGCAGGTCTGCAAAAGATGGATCGTATTGGGGGCACGGCGGCGCGTTTGGCGAGGGCACAGATCCGGTATGAGGCGAGTTATACCTCTCAGACTAAAGAGCAAAGGACAGGTGTACGCCGAGTGATGGGGAAGGATGGAAATGACGCGAAATGATCGAAAGTTTGAGACGCGAGAGTTGAGTGATTAATTAGAGATGGTCAAACCGATCGTCGGGGCAAGATTGAATTTGGGAAGTTCGAAAGGGGGGGCGTTTTTTTTCCCACTAAAAGGGGAAGCGGGTCGATAGCCCAGGGTGATTATCACCACACACGTCTGCATTGATAATGCACCACCGGTATTTATAGAAGTGTCATTTCTTTCTTGTGCATCCGTCTTTTCGGGCATCGGGTGGACAAGCGAGCCCCTGAGGTCATTTGGAGCCGGAAAGCCGGCATGGCTGGTGCCTTCCAAGGCTACTACCCCATGATTGATGCTCATCGAACATGGGCAGTGTGGATATTGCAACGGATTCAAGCCTCTCTATCTCCTGTTGGATGGTGGAAAGCAATCGACGGGTTTCTGTGGTTGAGTGACTGCCACTTGGCCCTTTCAGGCCTAGCGTCCCCCGTGCCTGAAAAGCCCCGCATCCAGACTTTTGAGTCTTTTGAGTCTTCTGACGCGAACCCCCTTGCGGCTTACTCTACTCTTACTCAGTCGATTTCTTCTCTGCTGCAGCCTGCACGTCACTTTCAGGCACAAGCCTCGGTTGAATTCGTTCAGTTAGAAGCAACATGATTTATAGTCAAGTCATCTATGGAAAGTTGAGGAGAGATGCATTATTTACAACATAATAGTACAGTGCCCTTTGGCCCGCTGCTTATCAAGAACCAACCCCCCCCCCCCCCCCCCCCTCCCCCCGGCAGAGAGCAACCAGCACCGTCCACCCATCTATACATGAAACAAGATTCCTCCAGGGAATGATTAGCCCGTTGTGACGAATGCCCCGGTCCAGCCGGCGTGACACCAGATGTGAAAGCGGATGCAGGCCCGAGGCCTTTTAGATCACTTCCTCCCGCTCCCAACCAGTGGCCTTCAGATTATCAATGCCCTTGTTCGGATGGGGCTTGAATGGATCCTTGTACTTGGCTGCGTACGGATTCGGGTCTGTCGCGTGGTCGAGGTTGCCTAGGGTGTGGTTCACCTCGCGGTGCTTGGCTTCGTCGGCGCGCACATAGAGCAACAGGTCCCGCATCGTTCGCTGTCCCTCCGGCATCTTCCAGTACTGCACCGCAATCTCGGGCGCCTCTAATTTCTCCCAGTGGGGCAGCTTGCCGCTCTCGATGTCTTGGATCGCGCGGGTGTACGTGATCACGGCCTCCTCCTCAAGATACCCCACGAATCGGTGGCAGATGCGCGGCGACATGAGGTAGGACAGGAAGAAGCCGTTGAAGAAGACTCCCTGGGCGCCGAGCACCATGAGCCGCATGAACCAGCCCGGCTCCGCGAGCTTAAGGAAGGTCAAGAGGTGCATCCGCTCGTTGTATGCCTCCTCCAACAGGGTTTCAATCCTAATGCAGACGAGTGGTTAGTTCGTGTCTTCGATGCATGTATGACTCGCAGGCAAGAAGGCGAAGAACCTACCATCCATTATCTCTCTTCATGCGCCGCAAGCTTCGCAGGTGTCGTAACATGCCGCCAACCATACCGGGCACACCAGCCACACTCTCCAGGAAGACAAACCGTCTTAACCACGCTTGCTCGGTCATCTGGAATCTGGCCTCATGTTCCTTGCCCGCGGGCGGATGGCGGTAGCCCGTCACGAAGTCCATGCCCCAGCGCAGCACGCGCACGGTACCGAGTGCGACCCAATCGGCCCAATCTTTCGCGTCGCGATGCGCAACCGCGACTTGGTTCATCTGCGCTTCCGAGTAACTGTGGCAAAAGAAATCAGCATCCTAGCTCACTTCAAGCTGGGTCGGGTCGCACGTACACTGGATGGACCCAGGCGGTCTCCACTTCTTTGACGTGAGGAGCCTTCGGTGGCGGGAAGAACTCCTTGATCTTGTCCTGTTTCTGTGTCGTTGAGATGAACCGCTTGTTGTACGTGTGCTGGTGATAGTTGTTGCCCAGGGTCGAGCTGCCACACCGGAGGCCGGTCATGATAATGACACTCGGGTTGCTTCGCATGGTGAAGCGAAGGCTTGCCTTCGGGATGGCCACCCTCAGGGGCGCCGTGGCTGCCATGGAATTCATCGTACTATGCGATCAGTGACTTGTAGGATGGTTGGTGTGTTGTTGTACTTGTGGTATGAGCAAAGCCTTGAAATGGCTTTTCAGTTGTTGATAGGAAGTATGTAAATCGAAGTGATCCTGATTTGAATATGTACTGAGCCTTACAACCCCCCAGGACCGGTGCCTATTTATATAACATCTCGAAAACTCAAATTACACCAGAAAAGAAAAAAAAAATCACTTGTACCTGAACCTACTTACCAAGTATGACTCCCTGCCCCAACCCGGCGGTCCTGGTCCAGTACCTGGGGACTGAATCTGTTCTCGGCAGAAATCGGAGTGGCGCCCCGGAATTGTAAGCAGCGGGACGGCGAGGGGGAGGGGCCGCCCTGTGAAAAAGTCACGCGGGTCAAAAACTGTAAAGAAAAGAAAAAAGAAAAAAACAAAGAAAAACAAAACCACATCCTTTGCGCAGGTTTGTAATGCACTCAAACTTGCTCAGCCACTGGGAGGGATTATGCCGAGAAAGACGTTGGAGTAACTTATGTGATATGATCTCATCTGAGAGCCTCCAAGACACATCATGGATGTTCTTCGCACCCTACAGGAATCATATCCTATTGCTGGTTATGCGAATTTGTCTCTATGGAATAGATCAGGCCACTTCTCGCCGATGTATACTGGATGTTATCGTTGAAGGTTTCTGCGCTTTTTTTTTTGACTTTGTATAAGAAGCGTATCTTTATTCTGCGTATGTACTTGGGGATACTCTAATCGCTAGCGCGGGCAGATCCCGGTCGGTCTGTGGCAGCATTTGCCCTGCACCAGAACTATAGGTGGGGTCCCCTGGATGTACTGTACATAACGAACCATGAAAAGGTAGAAGAGTTCGCAGGGGTCTAGAATTTTACTCATCACAGACGATCCATTCCTGCAATGCCCGTCTACCTACTCCGTACCCTTTCAAACTGCTTTCTCTGGGGAGGGACAAGAAAGGAAGTATAAACAATGAAATTGGAAGTACTGTACCGCTATACCACGCAGCCCCCAGCCTCTTCTCTTCGTTTCCTTTCAACATACTACGTAAGAATGTCAAAAGCCTTCTTTGTTGGCCAAACGTAAGCTCGTATATGCCCTCAAGAATAGATAACGGTTACGGGGGGCATCTTTCATGACCGGTGAGAAAAGACAGGCATCAGGCTGGGGCCCAGATGACCTGAAATGAAAAACCTCCGGAGGGAGGGAGGGTGAAAGGGCGCGGGATTCCACATGTTCGGCGTCCACCGGAAGGCGAATTCAATTCGGCGCTGGGACATGGGGGTTTCGAAATTTCTTGTTTTGGTTCAAACGGCATTTGATGGGATCTGGTCAGGATCGGCGATCTCATCTGTCGCGACGGTGAAACCCCAGAATATCCCGTGAATTTGGTAGTCGATCACTCTTGCTCTGTTTGTTAGAGGGTCTACTATGTGAATGTTCTTCGCCACTGATTGGTTTGTCGAGCAACCGGCTTCTACTTCACGGGTATAAGAACCCGATTACAACTTGATCAACGTCGATATCGTGTAATTAGAGACCAAATTAGCCTCCTATTTGAAAAGAGTCGGACTGAAAGGATTTGCGCAGGGATGCTTTCGTGTTGCACTGACGCTGACATAGGGGGATGAACCCTGGCGGGTTGTCGCCGTAGCATTATCGGGTAAAGCCGGGATGCCGTGTCTGCTCCTGGGTGAGTCAGGCATACCGAGCATAACTCGGGTTTGAGTCGGGGGCTTGTTGGCCATAACCTAATCTTCGTGTCCTGGGCTGCGACGTCATGATCCTTTTGTCTTGCTTCGGATTGGAGCGAGAATTTGTGGTTTTGATTTTGTTGGATTGTTACGTAGCGTCGCTTTGCCGTGGTCTCTATACTTAGGAAGACAATACCAATCGGAAAAGATCTTGCGAATAGGGCTTCTTATGCAACACAATGTTTCAAAGGGGGTCATATTGTTTGTCATTGTTCATCCAGCACTGTTACTCTCCCATTTGTGGCGATCCACTGCGTTTCTCCTTCTCAATGTACACGCAAGCACAGACATGCGACCATGGCATGCACGTGCCTTATACACAGCCCAACTCACTCAATGTTCGCAAACCCCGACTCCGATGTCTTATAGCATGAGAATTTCTCTTCGCCGTCCTTCACGCCGATCTCTTTCTGCTCCAGTTTGACAACATGTGCTAGACGGGGTCCATTGTTGAGGTCCTTGAGCAGCTTCTGCACTGATTCCTTGGGTCCTTGAGCTTCCCCTTCGACCTACAGGTGCTCAGCGTTAGCAATATTGTAGGCCAAACGCGTACGGCATAAAGACAATCCCAGGGAGGGATATGACGGGCAGTGCTCGAGAACAGTACGAACCCTTCCGCAGTGCGTGTTCTTCACCCAGCCCCTCAAGCCGTACTCGGTGGCGCGCTTCTGTGTGAAGTCTCTGTAGGTGCAAAGATGTTCGATCAGCTAGCCGTTTCGCGCGGTTCAACTTTGCGGGAGACCGGGTTTAGTAGTTGTAGTGATGGCGTACCTGAACCCCACTCCTGCATAATCCGTGAATATTAGCTTATGCTTCAATGGGTCATGTTGTGGGTTGCTATAGGAGGGTAGAGATCTCTGGTGCTGTATAGAGGCATACCCTGCACTGTTCCAGATACCTTGAATGCGATCTATACATGTCAGTGATTGCAGCTTAGATATGAAGTTCGGATGACGTAGTGCGGTTAGGAGAGGGCTGATGTTCTTTAGAGATAGCGGACTAGGGGAGGGGGGGTATACTCGTTGCGATGACATCTTAAGGGATGAGAACAGTTTCCTCCCAAGCATATAGTGAGTATAACCAGGAATACTTGTTGTTGTATGTCTGTCCTTCGATCTATACTTTGTAGCTCATCATGCGTCGGCGATGTGGTTAGTCATTCACGGGTGCACCGATGTCGCTTTCCTGATTCGGCAAGGTGCTGTCGGGGCGGGGGAGCTAGTAACCAATCAGCATTATTGGTTTATGCTCAGCACTTCGACATTTCAAAGTTGAAGATAAACATGCCTGATCACTGATCGGTTGGATTTCTGCATTCAAGTAGGCTCTACATGAGTGTCGAAGTCTATAAAGTAGGATACTTTACAGTCTGACTGAGCTCGAGAAGTAGATTTTATATAGTCGCATCAGCTTCATACAAGATTCATTTTGGCACTGGATATGATAACCGGCGGATTAGTTGCAGCAGCCGGGACACGCTCCGCTCCGCCCCTGAACCAAAAATGGACTCGGGCGATCGATCCCGTCCGTCTCTCCCCCAGAGTTCCAGCTCCTGCTTAACTCTCCGCACATCTACCCACTCACTCCGTCCACTTCGAGGGGTTCGTCACTCCTCACGAGATGCTGGCGCCAGAATGACTCTCTCACTTCTCGCCTGGTTCCGGCGGTTATACTCCCTCGACACCCTCGATACTCGTTTTACAGCCTCTGCGACCACTCCCGCCAAAGTCGCCGCGGCTGACGCGCGACCTGCCTCTACCAAAGATCCCCGTTCTGCTGCCATTGCCCGCAATGCCTCGCCTTCGAGATGGAGCACCTTCGAATTCTATATCTACTACATCGTTTTCTTGATCGCTGTGCCATTGATGTTCACGACGGTCATTGCGGTGTCGCAAAGTCCGTCTCCTCTTGTGCACGTGTGAGGACAAGATGCTGATTATCCCGGCAGAGAGCCATCCCACTTATGCCACATACTCTCACTTACTCGAGGACGGTTGGATACCCGGTCGCAAAGTTGTACGTTACTGTTGTTTCGATCGTTTCAGTATGGAGCTAATATTGCCTGGATGCTTAGGACAACTCCGATGCCCAGTATTCCGGTTTCCGAGAGAACGTTCCTTACCTCCTCATTCTCCTAGTCGGCCATCCAATACTTCGCCGAGCCTACAATCGATATGTCAGCCCAGTCAGCCCAGTCAGCCCAGGCCTGGGCTCTGCAAAGGCCTCTCCGGTCGTCGCAGCTGGAGATGCCCGCCTCAAGCAACGAATCGGTTTTGATTATTACTTCGCGTTTGTCTTCATCGTTGCGCTCCACGGCGTTTCCGCTTTCAAGGTTCTCACGATCCTTTACATCAACTATCGAATCGCCAAATCGATGCCCAGAAGATACATTCCCGCAGCAACCTGGACATTTAACATCGTGACATTGTTTGCTAATGAGCTCTGTGGCGGCTATCCGCTTGAGCGCTTAGCTACTCTCCTTGCACCTTCTTTTGATGCTACCAAGGAATTGTCCGCCCTGGTACTCTGGGCTCGTTCGCTCGATGGCTTTGGGGGTATCATCCCCCGCTGGGAGATTCTGTTCAATATCACGGTGCTCCGTCTGATCAGCTTCAATATGGACTACTACTGGAGCCTAGACTACCCCGCTGCAAGTCCCATTGAAGTAAGTCCATGTCTCCCTGTATAAAGAGCTCCTTCTGACCGCCATAAGAAGAAGCAACTCGATCCAGCAGCACTCTCCGAGCGGGACAGGGTCAGTATCCCGGCCGAGCTGTCCGCTTTCAACGGTCGTTCCTACGTCGCCTACGTGCTTTACGCACCCCTCTACCTGACAGGACCTATCCTGACCTTCAATGACTACATTTCCCAACAAAGATACGCCCCACCATCACTGACTACCGCAAGAACAACCCTCTACGGAATTCGCTTCTTCCTTACTCTCCTCGCGATGGAGCTGATCCTCCACTACATCTACGCCGTCGCTATCTCCAAAGCCTCACCCGACTGGTCCCTGTATACAGCCGGCCAACTCAGCATGCTCGCTTACTTCAACCTGCACATCATCTGGCTCAAGCTGCTGATCCCATGGCGCTTCTTCCGCTTCTGGGCCCTGGTGGACGGTATCGACCCTCCGGAGAACATGATCCGCTGCGTCTCCAACAACTACTCCGCCCTAGCGTTCTGGCGCGCCTGGCACCGCTCCTTCAACCGGTGGATCGTCCGCTACCTCTACGTCCCGCTCGGCGGGGGCAGCGGGGCCCATGGCAGCAGCCGCGACTCCGCCTCGTCCGGGGTATTCGCCAAGGGCCGTAAGATCTTCAACACTCTCATCGTGTTCACCTTCGTCGCGCTCTGGCACGACATCAACCTGCGCCTGCTCATGTGGGGCTGGCTCATCACGTTGTTCGTGCTGCCCGAGGTCATCGGCGGCCTGCTCTTCCCCGCCAGCCGCTGGCGCTCGCGTCCCACCGCCTACCGTGTGATCACCGGCGTCGGCGCCGTGGCTAACGTGCTGCTGATGATGGTCGCCAACCTCGTCGGCTTTGCGCTGGGGATCGATGGGCTCAAGGGCCTGGTGGCGTCGATCCTAGGCTCCTGGGCTGGCATCGTGTATATCATCACGGCGTGCTGTGCGCTATTCGTTGGCATCCAGGTGATGTTCGAGATTCGGGAGGAGGAAGCCCGCGCGGGCATCAACCTGAAATGTTGACCCCGCGGCTGTTGTTGATTTATCGCATCTACCGAACCACATAGCACCTATATCTTGCCTTTGAATGAGCTCAAGTAAAACCTCAATTCCAGCCCGGGATTTTTGATTATTCTCTTGTTTCATTACATCTTGACTTGAGTAGTAGTATACAAACACACACATACACACACAACAACAAAAAAGCCAACATGGTATATAATAACACAGACGGTAGTGCTCACAACATTTTAACTCCCCGAAAACCAAAACTCCAAAATCCGCGCTCCACACACACCTCTACAACAGCTGTCTACACCGTCGTGATACCTGCACCAACGTACAAAGCCCCAAAGAATCAGAAGAAAGCCCCACATCTCGAATCCTCATGCACCTTATAACATGCCAGCCCGCACGTCCGGGCGTGGCAGTTCTTGCACCGGATCTTGCCCCAGTAGCCGCACATGCAGCAGAAATGCCGGGGCGAGCGGCGGGGCGCGAGCGGCGCGCCCGCGCGGGCCGCGTGGTACGTCAGCGGCGGCTCGGCCAGCAGGGCCTGCACGATGCGCTCGGAGGGCGGCGCGGGGAGGTACGAGCGGAGGAGCGGGTTGGTATCGTGCTCGGAGCGGATGAGGGTTGTTGTGTTTGGTTCTGGTTCTTCCTTTTCTTCGGGCTTCGGAGTGTCGGTTGTGGGAGCCGGGGAACCGCCGGTGGTGGTGGTTTCGGGGATGGGGACAGGGGTTGTTGCTGGGAGGGTTGAGGCGCGGGAGGATGGGGGTTGCGTTTGTGGTTGTGAAGGGGGGATGGAGGGTTGTTTCTTGGTACGGTGGTGGTGGTCGCCTCGAGAGGAGGCCGGGGTGGAGCTGCGGCGGAGGGAGGAGGGGGTCGTTGCTGCTGTGCTGGATTTGTTGATTCGGTGGATTGAGCCTCTATGTCCTGTGACAGTACCGCTGCCGGCGCCTGCTGCTGCTGCTGCGGAGGAGGAGGAGGGGTTTGTTGCGGTGGTGGTGTTTCCTGGCGTGCTGGCTTGGGCGGCTTCTTCGTCGTCGAGGTAGTTGCGGAAGGTCTTTTGGGATTGGAGGATGCGGCGGACGTTGGAGGTTACTTTCGTGCGGGCTCCTGATTGTGATTTGGGTTGTTAGGTTTGCAGGACTGTGGCCTGAGAGGGCCCTTTGCTTCACAGATGTGAATGAGACGTCTGGGTCTCGGTGTTGCGGTGCAGTAGTGCTGAGCGAACTGCTCCGCTGTGGTAACCAACAAGGGGGGGGGAAACAAAAAGGGGGGGGGGGGGAGGGGAGACATACCTCGTGGAGCAGCAGGCTCTTTCTGTCTCACGGGCACCTGAATCTGTACATCGCGATGGTTCTCGCGGTCGAGCTCGGCCAGATGTCGGATGATCGCGTTGGTCTGTCGGGAAGAGAGATCCGTCCGGCCTGGGTCCCGGATGCCGCGTTTGCGACCGATAGTGGGCGTGATGGCTGCTTTGGCGGGGTCGAAGCCTCGATCCGCGACGTAGGTCCAACCCGGAGTGACGTGGGTTGTCGACCCGGGAAGTAGTTCAACGCGATACATCCTGTGTCGTGGTGGGTTGTTGCGTTTCTGAGACGGCGCATGCACGATAATCGAAACCACCGGCGGCGAGGAAGGAGAAATCGCGGCGATAAGAGCGAGAATACAAACTGAGGACGGGCAGGAAAAGGCGGTGAGCGCTCGTGTTTGCCGTGTTTGCACTGTCTGTCTCATCCGATGACGCCGACAGTCTGTCTCGCCTCCCCAAGTCCAAACGCGTCGTCGCTTCAAGTATGCTACAGTCAAGTACGGAGTACATCTGCCTGTCTTGGGAAGCGAATTCATTTCACATTGTAGATCTCCTCTCATGTAGACCCTGCTCGCATGCGTAGATCTGGCATACACCTTCAAAATGCAATACAGTCTTTTGTTGACTGGTTTTTATTACAATGCGCATCCCCGTAGAAACTGCATTTCAGAGAGAGAGAAAAAGATCAAAAATGATATGCTAAGACCCGTGGCGAGGAACTCCTGCAGAAGCATGTGGAAAGAGAACAGACCCTTGATACAAGCAGAGAAGAAATAGAGGACAGGAAATGCAATGCTAGGCTATTTTTTCTTGAGTTGGTCGACCTTGGTTTCTAGCTCGCCGATATAAGTCTGCAGCTTCTGTGTAGCTGTTTGGAGAGCCTGGGAGCCACATCAGCAAAAGAGCGAAGTCAAAAGGCAATTCGCAGCGAGAAACATACGTAGATATCTTCAGTTAGCATCTCGTTGGAAATTCTGTACTCAGCCAATATGTAGTAATAAACGACAACGCCGGCAGCAACCGAGCCGGAGAGGAAGCCGAAGATTCTGTAGCCAAGAGAAGAGTCAGTCCAACCGGAAGACGGTAGTCCATCTTTATGGACGTGATATCAATATGGAATGAATGCAGTACCCTCCACGAAATGCGCCCACGGGCTTCTTAGCAGGCAGCGTGGTAGCTGCCTCCTTCATCAAGGGTGAGGCCGCGAAGCTCCGCGTCGGAATGAAGACCGGCTTGGTTGCGACAGAGCGCCATGCAGGCGTTAACACTCTTCGAGTCGCACTCATGGTTATGAATTCGAGGCGTATCTTGAGAACAAGTCAGTCAGAAGCATAGCAGAACTAGTCACAACTACAAAGTGACTGTCCGAGGTCTTACGTGGTTTTAAGTAGAAGTGGAGGTGGAAGGTGGGAAGTATGTAGCAGATGTTTTGGTGGGTGTGGGTGGATGCGGAGGAAGAAGCTTGGGTGGAGAGAGTGACGTTTGTTGGCCAGCCAGTTGGGCCGAGGATGTTACGAAGAGTACGAAGTATTAAACCACGGGCCCAATAATAGACACCTCCAATTACTCTATATTATTCAGTGCCCACCCAACTCAACTGCCGATTTCTGCATATGATCGTTTCCGCTTCTCCAGAATATTCCACCATAAAATCCAAGTTATCTATCTATGCTTCCTTAATCCCTGGCGCATACGGAACATGCGGATCGACGCCTCCGACGCCCCGACGCCTGAAAATGAACGCTGGAAATGTCGCTTCTATCCCACAATACAAGAACGTGCGCTGTACGTGCGCATTGCCAGTCACGCTAGTTCGAATTCTAATAGACAAGCAAAAAATATCATAATACACAGGCAGCACGCGAACAACACAGAACCCTAGTTGGCCATGGTGCTTTCATTAAAGATATCCGCCAACAAATCATTCACACATGCATTCAACTGTGGTTGACCCATGCTGTAGGTACTCTCAAATGCGTGAATGCTGAGCTGGTCGAAAAATGGCCGAAGCACCCGATCGACAATCTCATCCTTTGCTGTCTCACGGATCCAGTCCGCAGTAAGGCTTGGTTGTCTCGCTCCCTGGCTGAGGTTGGTCGTTTCTCCAGCCCCATCATTCGATGTAATCCCACGCATACCCAAGCTCTGCGAGACCTCATCCGCGAGGGCCATCGGCTCGAAGCCTTCCGGAGGGTATATGGCGTCTATGGTGTCGGTAACATAAAGCCACTCCAGAAGTTGGAAGTCGTCTGTTGCAAGTACAAGTAGCGCATCTAACAGTTTGCATGCCTGCAGCAAGGCATATGAGTTGTATACATCTTGTTGCGAACCCAGCGGTACGGCGGATATAGCCTCTTGGAGTTCAGCATTGATGAGCGGCCAGAATGTGGACAATGCCGTCGCAGAGCTCTTAAGTGCAAGCGCACGAAGAACCATGAAGATCTCGGCCCGCGTGGTTGAAGATGGAGAGGATGTAGTAGTCGCCCCAAGTAGGTCTTCCAACTTCTGCAAAAGGGCGGGTAGCTCTCCAATATAGTAATCATTGTTAGCAGACAAAATAAGGAGACTGATGCGGCGGAGGTTCAGTTGAGCTTTGCGGTCAGCTTCGAGGCGAGCAGCAGAGGCTCCAACACCGAACATGATACCTGCTGTACTTGGTGGCGGGAGGCGAGACAGGATCTCAGACAAGCGATCTTTATCTGCAAGCACCCACTGTCGCAGTAGACTCAGCCATCCCTCCCGAACCAAGTCCATCTGCATCCCAAAGAATCTGGTATCGTAGAATGCATCGGCTATGTCCTTTTTCCATACTTTAGCAGCAGATGGTACTTTCGCTATGTGCTGGAACAGAGTCATGAAATTATGGTTGAGGTTGTTCGGGAAGAGTCGCGAGCGAAAGAGAGGACCGATCACATTCGTTGAAATGCCGGTTACTGCGGAAGTGATCCGGTCGGAATCTCCGAGTGTGATTGTGAATGCAGGCATGGATGCCGCAAGGATGCTAAGCATATCGTCAGGTCCAATATTCGGTGAGGGCGAATTGTCATAGTCGATAGAGCCGCGGCTGAGGGAAGACTCTTGAGCAATGCCCATCGGCTTGCTCGTCCAGATTGCGGTGAGAAGGCGAAGCAAGACGTCCTATCATATGTCAGTAAGTCTCAATGAGTTTGCCTGTCCTTAATCATCGCGTACCCCGAGTTCTTTCCTCATCCGTCGATCTTCCCCAAAGCTAGTATTTTCCAATTTCGCTCCTAGGATCGCTGCAAATTCAACCAGTCGTGGAAGAATTTGCCGGTGTGGGAATGGGTTACTCAACACATCACGAAGAAATGTGGTACAATCGGCCCAGATCTCATTGAGCACATCGTCATCCAGCGACCTCGCGTATGCCACCAGGAAGCCCGCCAATTCAGACTCGGTCAGGCTCGCAGTCAGTGTAGATTTGCGGCTCGGCTCTAACGCTGCCGGATTGGTTCTCGTATAAATAGAATTGAACACAGCCGGGATAGCGATCTTCGGTCTAGACCCGTCCAGAGTGTGGAGCAGGCTCATAATCAAAGACGAAGTCTCGCTGTCAGATTTCGTCCACATCTCCACGGCTGTCTCTAGACATTCAAGTGCCTCTGCATTGAACAAATGTTCGAGGATACGACGCGATCTGTTCCTCATGCGCAGAGACGTGTACTGAAACGAAGCTATCGATTCTGCGTCTTGTGGCAGCGTACTGCGTTCTACGGCACCCCAAGACCATATGGTGAAGCAGAGCCTCACGGCATCTTGGAAGCAGAGTAGGACGGTAAGCCGATTGTTCGCTGCGGCCGAGCGCGTGTGGTTTGATTCAGATGAGAATACCCCTGAAACCATGTTGCCAAAGAATCCATGATTCTGGTCAGGACTTTTGACAGCAGGAGTATTGGCCTCCTCTACTAACAACCGCTCGTGAGCGGTAGCAATGCAGGTCTCGAGAGCGCTGAGAAGAGCAATGGTGGCATACTCAGATCGATCATCAGGCCATCCTTCTGTACGCTTGAAAGCGAGTTGCAGGCTGGCATAGCAAAGTTGGATCTCTTTACAGAGCGATTCGACAAGCATGAGTAGTATTTGGAAGATTGACCCCGCGTACAGTGGAAGTACTTCGCAAAGGAGGACAGTCCATTTGTCCACAATTCCTCTTGAACTTTTGGAACCAAGGCCTTTGAGAAGGCATTCGAGAAGTTGTTGAGGTGGCTGAGGGAGGGCAGACAGCGCAGGTACCTTCTCTGGTTTGTCGCTTGTAAAGGACAAGATAGAGGGGCTTGTCAAGCGCTCACGAGAGTTTGCCCGGTTGTGTTTTGGCCGTGGAGGGGGAGGTGGCAGATACGCTTGCGCAAACCGGACCTTCAACGCTGCTAATAGGGTGTCTATCAGGTCTCCTTGAATTGAATCAGTCGCGCCATGATCCAGGGCGCGAGAGAGCTTATCAACCAGGAACGAGTCAATTCCAGATTCAATCACTTCTTCAGCTCCTGGACCAAGAAGGAGCTGTCGCATGACTAGTAATGACGTTTGTTGCAGTCTGATTGTCTCCAGGCCATGAGTACCTGTGGCTGTCTGCTCGCTGATCAGTTTCAGACTGGCTTGGTAGATGATGGTATGAAGGCTCTGAAGCTCGGCGTTCTCTGCCAATCGTTACTTAAATGTATTTTCAGTGAGACCAGTCCCAACATACCTTCAGATGCATGCACATCCTTACGTTTGTCAACCTGAGATAGCGTCTGAGTGAGAAGAGTGATCCAGCCATTGTGATCAAGTGTAGAGATGAGATTGGAGATGGTCCGCAGCAGATAGTCGCATTCCTTGTAGTCATCTGGCGACAAAACCTGATTGTCGCCTCCCCCTTCACCGTGATTTGAACACTGGAAGAGACAATCCAGGCGCGAGACTATTATACGAAAGACCCTGTAGTTTGTGAGCAATTTCTATAACGGAGAAACACCTTGAAAGATGTAGGAGAAATCCCTTCGGGACCAATAATGCCTTGTCAGGCTAGACTTACTTATGCATAGCCGGCAGATCTTGAAGCCATCGTTGGACAACTCGAGAATTTTCGTTCGAGGGCTGAGAGAGCAAGTCTAGGACGATGAAAAGCGGGCGTTCAAGCATCGAAGCTTGGTACACTTTTGCTGACTCGATAGAGTTATACAAGCGCTTTGGCGGCAGCTCATAGTTGCCTTGGTGACTGTGGTTCCACAAGACGAAATATCTTCCAAGTTGCTCGCCTGTCAGCCCTTCAAAAGGCACTGTAGACGACGAGCCAACCATGAGGGATGTAATGGCTGCCTCAACTAGATGATCCGACCAAGAGACGGTGTGCAATTGCCACAAGCAACGAACAGCCTCAACATGGAATTTCGGGCTCATCGGGGATAGAAATTGCCACAGTTGTCCCACAAGAGCGGGAATGACGTCTGACACATCTTCGTAGCTAATATAGTATCCTGTAGTATTGATGAGGTACAGATTCGTTACTGCGGACGCGATTGACGAGATGGTTGAGAAGCAGGCCGTGGATTTTTCAACTTGGTCGGCACGGACACGATCGCTTAACGCGAGATACAAACGCCGGTCGCGCAAAATACGTGTTCGGGGGAGCTTTTTCAGTAATATGATGAGCAGGTTGATCCGATCGTGCAACCGTGTGGCGTTCTCTTGTTCATCAAGGGCTGTTATGGCTTGCTCATAAGCGTTTTGAATGATGAGCTCACCCAGCTGTTTTGGGACGAAAGGGACAGGCTGTGGGTCTAAGCTAGTCTTGCTTCGATTGTAAAAAGTATGAATCACATTCAAGATGTCCGACCCGGTCATATCAGAATGGGTTTTGTCTCCTGCTTTAGGTGCGTCAGACTTCCTTATGAACGACCTTTCGATCAGTAAGCCCGTCAAAGAATCCATGACCTTCGACAACCCCGCTGAGACAAGTTGCAGCTGCTCCGGAGTCGCTGCGGAGTTGCTTGATGAATACAGATCCCTCATCTTCACAATGGTAGAAAGGGTCAACAGAGGAATGTGAACCGCAATCATGTCTTCTTCTCGAACATTGAAATTCTCTAGTATGAAGTAAGCGAGCTCCAGGTTGCTTACTATGTCGTCGATCTTGGAAGTAAAGTCCTGATGCTTCCAATCTATAAGACGGAGGAGTTCGGAGAAGATGACGCCGCTTTCGACGCCGTCGAAGAACGAGCTGGCGCTGCGAAAGACCTCCTCGAAATGGTTCTTAGAAGCGCTGTTTCCGAATGCTTGCACGCTTCGGATGATTGGCAAGAAGATCTCCGGTATGATGTATCCACCGACCTCCCATCTGTCCAACAACGATAGCGAGATCCGGAATGGCTTCGTCTTCTCTGCCGGTACAGTTGTGTCATGCTCAATCATCTGCAAGAGGCCTTTGACTAGTGGCGTCAGCCCGAATTTGCTGAAGTACTCCGAAGGCGAGAGCTCTTTGCGGTCGCTTGCCAGTTGGGTTGTGCCTTCAGAGATAGAATTGCGGGCTTCAAATGACGGCCGGTCGTTGGAAGATTCGGGCCCGAGGAGCCAGGCCCAGAGTCTTCGGTTCAGACTCATGTCTCGCCTGGCAACGACTCCTACAGCTGCTGCAATGAGCCGCTGAAGATCGTCCTCTGTAATTTTCGATTGCAGTACCGGCGAACTGAGCGGCAAGTGGGTGACCAGTAAATCAAGGAAGTTCCGCTGGACGAGAACCTGCTCGTCGGCGAGACCGGTCGCGAAACAGCGTATGAGCAACCCGGGTTCGGGCACGATAACCGATTCTGCTGCAGCTAACATGCCCTGGTGAATGTCCATGGGGTCATTCGACTCGTCCTTGGAAGGCCGGCGGTCTGTGTTTCCTAGTTTAGGCAGGTAGCGGCCCAGATAGGCGAGGACACCAGCACGTCGGCTGGGACTTGTGACCGAGGCTAGAAAAAGACACTGCCAGAAATAGTGGCCCCCTGGACTCGCAGATCCCTCGACTTTATGCTTCTCCATGGCGCTAGCAATGTCGCGGAATTTATTGATCAGTCGCAGTGTAGGTTCGAAGTCATCGCTCGTCTCTTCCTCTAATCCCGGTAGTAGAGCCAGTATAATGGCCTTCAAGGCTGGGCGAATCGCCCATGGTTCCAGGTTGCATATATGTGTCTCCACCAGCGTCAGGAACAGGGGTCGGACCGTGAGAGATGCGAAGGTGAGTGTGGGCGCAATGCCAGGCATATACAATGGCAGGTCATGCGATAGACCCTCCGGCTAGCCGACAATATCTCTAATTAGCGGACATCACTTTGGATCCGTCACTAAGCGGGACGAACCTTGATCAAAGCAAAGATATACGAGTATACTTCCAATGCTTTCTGGTGAACACCTGATGGCAACGAAGGGTTAAGGCATTGCGCAAGCCGTTTGGCAACGAGCGCCTTATGAGGGACAATAGGGATATCCGCGGGGTGAGATTGCAGCGCCTATGAAGGTAGCATCAGCATCGTGTACTCTCCTGCCTCGGAGATAGTGTGACCGTACTTTCAGGAGTCGGCTCAAGAAGGAGATGTAATCTGCCCACTCCTGCAAAGCGGTATCGAACAACGACAGGGCTCGCTCGACAGTCGACGCATAACGGCGGTAATTCTTGTCTTTTCGTAAGGGCTCTGAGATACCTCATGTCTATTAGACTCTGGACTGCATGACTGTAGTGCCATAAGAGGAGAAGCAGCGCGTAAATTACCGACCTTCCTTCCCCCGTAGTCGGGAGCGCGTAAGAGAGCTTTCGGAGCTTGCGGGGGAGTGAGACCTCGGGAACGAGCTCGGATCGAGACTCATTGTGCGATGGTCGGATAGTAAACGGTGTCCTGGGCAGGTATTTGTCGATCGCAGTCCGTCATGATTTGTTGTAGAACATCAAGGATAGTAGCATGTGGACTCTGGCTGGTGGAACAGTTGGCTCTTGTTTCCCACTGCAGGCCAGCAGGTGGACATGTTTCCGTTTATCTGGCGTCGGTCGCCCGCCTTTCGGAAGCTCCGCCGGGTCGATCCCGTGCTCCACGTCAAGTTGTTCCAGCCAGGCAAGCAAGCAAGGCACGTTCGTCATTTACTACCTCACTGTTTACTACTCCATCACCAACACCGGACCAGCCTCGTCATCGAAGCTGGGCCCTGCCACTTTCACCATGTGCATTATCGCCTTCAGCGCATGTGCAGTAAACCAATTGATTACCGCGACATAACGATTGATTTCTCATCACTTTCGACCCATCCATTGCCCATCCTCGCGCACGGACGCACATCTCCCCGAACGGAGCAGTTCTTCGATGCGCCGGAACTGACGACGAACATGGTTTCGACGGCCGATGGTCCAGCGCAGGATGCGAACAATCCTGAGACCGAGAACCCTCCAACTCCGCCACCGTCGTCTTCATTGCGACGGCCTTCCACTTCCTCGGATTCGCGATCCGAGGAAGCCCAGGAAGAGCGACCCCCGCCCTTACCCCCGCGACCGAACACCTTGCGCCTCCTAGATGAAGGAGGCGCCTCGCTACGAACATCCCGCCCTGGAGCACCGACAAATCTCCAGTCCAGAGCTACAACAGCTGTCTCCTTGACGGATATCGGTTGTCACGATGCGGGGAAAGAGAGTCGCGTTGTGCGCGAAGGCTCGGAGACGCTGAAGGCTCAGGCGAGCCTCAACCACCTGACAAGTTCCCGCGGGAGCGAAACTGGAGACACGGCGAGTATCCGGAGCTCGGGGCCGCAAGGGGATATAGGTGATGTTGAGAATGTCTTCGGGGACTTTGTCGCGACCGATACTGGTCTTATCCGCAAGCATAGCACGGGGCTCCTGCAGTTCCCTGAGTTTCAGGCGGATGACGTGGAGGATGACTTTGCAAGCGAGTTCGAGCCCGTGGGAGAGGTGGACGAGGAGGGGGGAAACGAAGGTAGGCTATTGGATACTGAGCCCACATTTGTCTCCGAGCAATGCTGATGATCGTTCCTACAGAGCAAGTCCTTGCGAATTGGAAAGCGAAGCGGAAACACTATCTTATCCTCTCGGCTGCTGGCAAGCCGATCTGGACACGACATGGGGACGGAGGGCTTATATCAACATATATCGGCGTTATCCAAACGATCATCTCGTTCTACGAGGACTCCAAGGACCCGTTGAGCAGCTTCACTGCGGGGGATACCAAGTTCGTGATATTAACCAAGGGGCCCCTGCACCTTGTCACCATCAGTCGGATGCTCGAAAGCGATACGCAACTCAAGCTCCAGTTGGAAGCTTTGTACATGCAGATCCTGTCAACGCTCACCCTGCCCTCTCTCACGCATCTTTTCTCCATCCGCCCTTCGACCGATCTGAAGCGGCCACTCCAAGGATCCGAGACGCTTCTATCCACCTTAGCCGACAGCTTCACCAAGGGATCCCCCTCCACGCTCCTCTCGGCGTTGGAATGCCTGAAAATCCGCAAGTCCCACCGTCAAGCCATCAACAACACTCTCTTAAAGACAAAAGTCAGTAGCCTGCTCTACGGCCTGGTCGTCGCCGGCGGCCGGCTCGTCAACGTCGTCCGGCCCAAAAAACACTCTCTCCACCCCGGGGACCTCCAACTCCTGTTCAACATGATCTTCGAAGCCGAGGCTGTCAAAGCCGGTGGCGGCGAAAGCTGGATCCCCGTCTGCCTCCCGGGGTTCAACAGCAGCGGCTATCTGTACATGTACGTCAGCTTCCTCGATATTCGCGATGACGCCAACGCTGCCAACGATACAACAACAATAACAACAACCACCACCAAAGAAGAGTCCGTCGCCATCGTCTTGATCAGTGCCAATAAGGAAAGCTTCTTCGAGTTGCAGGGCATGCGCGATGCGTTCGTCGAGGTATGTTTATTGAGCCCCTCCGATCCACCGCAACCACACCGTATCGAATCCGGAGAGCTAATGGCTGCCGGGGTACCAGCAAATGGAGAAGAACGGCAGCATCAAGATCATCAAAGAAGCCGTCGCGCAAGGCCGCCCCAGCACGACGGACATCGTCCCGGGGACAGTCTTGCATCATTTCTTGTACAAGTCGCGGGCGAATGTCCAGTTCACCATGTCGTCCTACGATCCTGAGTTTTCCACCGTCTCGCGTCGTCGAAGGTAAAGTGGCCCTGGATTTGTAATATGCGGGTGTACTATATTCGAGATCAAGAGCTCAGTACTGATTGGAAACCCGCGCAGATTGATGTCAACCTACAATAATCTTCATGCGAGCATTCATACCAGGCATACGCACGTCAAAGTCCACCATTGCGTGTCTCAATCGTCCAGCTCCTTCGCTTGGGTGACCCCGATGTTCGAGCTTTATTGCGTGGCGGGTGCGAATGCGAATCGCAATGCTTTGGCTCAGAGCGCGAGTAAGATCATTGAGTGGGTGCGACAAGAGGAAGAACGTCTTTTTATTATTGGTGGTGCAGTACGTTTGCCAACAGTGCCCAAGACTATGAAACGCAGTTAAACTAACGACACTCGGCTCTCTTAGGTTTTTTGAGCAAGATCCCTTCCTTCAAGACTGCAGACGGGAACAGATCATTTCAAACACGCGTCTCTGCCTCACATATAGATGTATATAGCTGTTATGAAGGCTGCGCAAGACACAATAGCTGTTCATTTGGTGACATCTCTCATTGCCTCGCATACGCCAGCTAATTCTGATGGGGAAGCTCAACTAACGATAGAGTCCTATATAGCTATAATTCACTACTTACTTGACCTAGTCTAATCAATGGTATCCTCCCTCATGGCAAACAGCTGCTGGAACACTTCATCTGACTTCGCACGAATAGCATTGTGGTACATGGTGTTCGTGATGAACTGCTTGATGCCCTTGATATTGGCGGCAGTCTTCTGCGCATGGTCGAAGTGCACGTACATGTCGTCGATGTACGTTGCCGCGTAGACAGGGACCTCGTTCTTCTTCAGCTGGGCTTCATCGTAAAGCTTGGGCCAGTCGCTCGTCGAAGCGATGAGGTCTGCTGCTTGCTTAATTTGCTGGAGCTCCGTGTACGATTCGAACATGTCTCTGTGAACCTGGTGGAGAAAATTGGTCTATCAGCACGTTCTGCTGGCCACTGACAGGCTCCATAATGCTTACCGTTTCACCGGTGAAGAAGAATTGAGATTGTTCCCAATTGATGTCAAACATGGGGAGGCCGGCACGGTATTTGTCCGCAGACCACTTGGACGCATGTCTGATTGGAGGCGAAGTGTGTTAGTTGATGTTCCGAGGTTGGTTGATGTTGGGATCGCTCTCACCCCTGACAGTATATAGCCTCATGGAGAATTGCATAGATGACGTTGTTGTCCATGCCGCCGTAACCGTCTATCGAGGTCAAGGTTGGGTGGGTAAGGAAGCCAAGCACCTCTAGATCGTTCCAGGCACGTAGCACAAGATCTGTCTTATCGTTAGCCTAAGCCGGAACGCTCCAAATGGGAGGCAAATTACCGTGAATGCTGTCAAGACCCCCTGCGAATATATCTTTTAGCAAATTCATCCTATAATGAATGATCGACGTGTTTTCTCACCATGCATGCCGAAGGCGATACCTAATTGCTGAAATCGATGGACAGTGAGCTTGCCGGAAGGCAGAGCAACCTCGTTGTCCTTCAGATACTCGACAATGCGCTTGACTCGCTCAGTGTCCTCGGGAAACTTGGCATAGTATGCCTGATTCCTCTCGATCATCTTTTCTTCTTGGAATCAGCTTGTTTTCGAGTTCATGTCTGAGAGGCAAAGTGCGTACTGTAAGTAAGTGCATAGACAGGGTCAGGACCATTGACCAAGGGGGGCAGTCCACCGCAAATGAAAGCCTCGGATAGTCCTTCCGGACTATAATGGGGAAAACGTGATCAGCATTTCATGTTGCTTGAGGTATACTGTCTCAAGTTCACGACTTACAACATGGAAAGGTAAGATGTGATACAAAAGCCACCAAAACTCTGACCAATGACACTCCACTTGCGCTTGTCTTCGGGATAGTCAGTCGTGAGGCATCTTCGGACGGCCTCACAGTCCCGGACGATGTTGTCGGCACGGAAATGCTTCAGATACTCCGCTTGCTTGACTGCATCGCCTTTCTGCGCCAGTGTGCGCGCCGTGATGGTCGAGCTAAGGCCAGTGCCACGCTGGTCCAGGAATAGAACCTAGGTAGATGGTTAGCATGTGATTCTCGGTGAAAAGAGTGCAACAGAAGAAGTACCTGGTAGCCTTTATCAAGAACGGTGTTGATCCAGCCAAATTCTTGAGGCGGACGACATCCGAACCCTGGGCCACCCTGCAGGTACACCAACCACGGAAGCTGCTTGTCGTCATTACAGCAGGAACTGGGCTCGACAGGAGTGACCATACGCCGGACACTTCGCGCGAAAAGCCTCAGAGTGTCCTCATTGGGCTTGGTGTAATTGAGAGGGACATCAAAGAACAGCTCGGCCACACGAAGCTTGCCTGACGAAGCAGAAAGAGCCCCCATCCGTCAGCACATCTTGCTGGTGGAGTTACTGTACAGTGTACACAAACAATGGCAGGACTGGGCGTACCTGGAACGTTGTGGAACTTCCTGTCAATTAGCTTGGCAGCCATTGTTCTAGACCTGCGGGGGATATTTTCTGTATTTCGTATAATTATATTCTCAATCCACCAGGGGTAGTGGCAGGATATCACGCAAGTATTGATTTGATCTGAGTTTTGTAGTAGGGAAAAGGAGTGTGATGGCGGACTGCAATCGGCGGCAATGGTACCAGGAATACGAAGAGGGAAACAACGAGCCCAGACTAACCTACGGCGGGTAACTAGTCTAACTTCCTCTCCGTCTCTCCCTCTCTTTATTCTCCGCTATCCGATCTCCACTTTTCCCCAAACCGAACGAATGAACAGACTTACCTTTCGGACAATTGAATACTTGACTCGGAGATCATAAGGCTTCCACGTTATGTGAGTTAGTTATGCCGTTTGGAGCCATGATATTCAAAAGCTCATTCAAATCCCGGTTATCCAGACAGAGCAGGTACACCCGACCCTTCAGACCCCGTTCTAGGTTCATAATATATAAGCGCATCGGGAAAGAACCAATTTCGCTAGTCGTCCAATACAAACACCAACCCTCTACTTTTTGACAAGAAAGTAGTTCAGACTTGTTGCTTTCTCCACCCCTTTTTACAGCAAATCTGATCGCCATGAACCTCGAAGATGCTCAGAAGACCGCGCAAGAGCAGGGTCGTCTGCAGCAAGACTTGTGGAAGATGACTCAAACGTGGGAACCAGGCGTCTTACCGAATGCTGCTGCCCTGGCGCGGGCCAGAGAGTCTCTGCCGAAGACTCTCAGCGACCAAGGCCTGGGCTTTGACCGGGCGACGCAGCATATTCTGAACGACATGGTACCTGCTTTTAATCGTAGCAGTATAAGCCCCAATTACTACGGCTTCGTTACTGGCGGCATCACTCCGGCCGCCCTTTTTGCAGACAACATTGTCTCTGCGTATGATCAAAATGTACAAGTCCATCTTTCAGAGCACTCCATCGCGACAGATGTCGAATACTCCGCCTTGGGTCTTCTTGTGGATCTTCTACGGCTGGACAGGCGTCATTGGCACAACGGCACTTTCACCACCGGAGCTACCGCAAGCAACGCCCAAGGGTTGGCTTGCGGCAGAGAATACGTCTTACGGGCCGCCGCTGAAAAGAAGGGCATCTCAATCAAGAGTGTTGGGGAGTACGGTCTGTTGGAGGTCATGCAAGCGGCCGGGCTCTCTGGGATCCAGGTTCTCTCAACTTTACCCCATTCTTCGATGGGAAAGGCAGCCGGCATCCTCGGGATCGGACGCACAAACGTCAAGAACATCTGTCGGGATGATGATCCCCTTCGTTTTGACATTAAGAAGCTGGAGATAGAACTGGCAGCATCCAACAAGGCTAGCATCATCGCTGTATCTTGCGGCGAGGTCAACACCGGACACTTCGCCACGTCCAGCTTAGACGAGATGCGGAGATTGCGCGAGCTTTGTGATAGATATGGCGTTTGGCTTCATGTTGATGGGGCCTTTGGAATCTTTGGTCGCATTCTCGAGCCCACTGCTGAATTCGCATCCATCGTTGGAGGCTGCGAGGGGATGGAGTTGGCAGACTCCATCGCATGTGATGCACACAAGCTGCTCAACGTGCCCTATGACTGTGGATTTGTTCTCTGTCGACATCCTGAAGAGGCCGTGAACGTATTTCAGAATGCGAATGCAGCATATTTGACCGGTGGTCAAAGTGGTGGAAATTTGATACCGTCGCCTTTGAACAACGGGATGGAGAACTCCAGGCGCTTCAGGGCACTACCAGTCTACACCTCTCTCGTGGCGTACGGTAGAAATGGCTATAAGGATATGCTCCAGAAGCAGATCCGTTTGTCAAGGATGATTGCTGGTTGGCTGTACGACCATCCAAAGTACAACATACTGCCGGCAGCGGGCAGCAAAGATGCGCTACTAGATCGAACTTACATGGTCGTGCTTTTCAGTGCCAAAGATGATAGCCTGAACCAAAGCCTCGCCAAGAAAATCAACGACACTTCGAAGATGTTCGTATCGGGTACCTCATGGGACGGCAGACCCGCTTGTCGGATTGCTATCTCGAATTGGCGGGCGAAGGAAGAGCGAGATTTTGCGCTTGTGACAGAAGTGCTGCAAAGCGTGGCTGATGAGAGCACGTAGGCTATGTACCATACTACACACTCCTTCTGATCATACTGCCTGATCGAAGGTATTTAATTCTAATAATACATATGATTTTGTGATCGCCGTTCCTCAGCACCCGTCTTTCCATATTAGGCATTTATTTAGCCTTCTCCGTGACTTAGATGCTTTGCCCTCTCCGGTGCCTTGAAGAACTTGTTAGAATTTGTCAGAATAGCTTCCAGCAGATATGGACGACTCCGAGCCGACCCAGCTTAATCGCGTGCGTGAAATATGCCTCCAAGAAGTGCAGAGGGGATACATCCCGGTACGCGGCACAGGCAGCAAGTGTGGGAACTTGGAACTGCTCCTGCGGACAGGCGGAGCGGCAACCGTCCACCTGTCCATGGATCCCGCATCACTTAGCCACTGCCGCTCCCACGCTATTCCCAATCAGGTAACCATCTGGTCGTGACCGTTCAGCAGCGGACTTAACGACCTCAACCACTCCCCTCGATCACGGAGATGGGACGGCGATTAAGGCATTCAATGGACTTAGGGGACCTCCCGCCGGAGGTTAAATAGCGAGCTGATCCGTTGTCATTGAATTTCTATCCATTCTCCAGAACCCAGATTCCAGTTACCCTACGATCTACAGTACACTTCTGCCGGTTTTTATACATCACAGTCTCCTACCTCCTCACGATGCCTACCCTCGCCGGAAAAGAAATCAGCCAGAATGGCCTGGGGCTGATGCGTGAATACTCCCACATGATTCATTGTTCTCGTTGTTATGCTGAGCGTGACGCTGACTGTGCTATCCCTCAAAACAGGCCTGATCTGGCAATACGGGCCCACCCCGGATGAACAAGCCTTCAAAGTCCTCAAAACTGCTCTCGCAGCTGGGGCAAACGTCTGGAACGGTGCCGACTTCTACGGCACCCCGGACAACAACTCCCTGCATCTGATGAACCGATATTTCACCGCCTATCCGGAGGACGCCGAGCGAGTCGTCTTCACGGTCAAGTCCGGGCTGGTGTCAATGAAGACCTTCACCATGGACTGTTCGCGCGCGGGGCTGCGCAATTTTGTCGACAACGCCTTGAAGATCCTGGACGGCAAGAAGAAGATCGATGTCTTTGGCTTGGGGAGAGTGGACCCCAACGTGCCTGTCGAGGAGAGCGTGCAGGCGCTGGCGGAGCTCAGGGAGGAGGGCAAGATCGGAGGCATTCAGTTGAGTGAAGTTCGGGCGGACACGATCCGTCGTGCGGCGAGTGTGACGAAGATCGATATGGTCGAGGCCGAGGTCAGTCTCTGGTCGCGGGAGGTGTTTGAGAACGGGGTGGCGGAGGCATGCGCGGAGAACGGGATTGTCCTGGTGGCGCACACGCCTCTGGGTGCTGGGATGTTGACGGGGACGATCAAGTCCGTGGATGATCTGCCGCAGACGCACCACCGCACGGTGCCTCGCTTTCAGCCTGATAGTATCGCCCAGAATCGTCTGCTGGTTGAGGCGTTGGAGACTGTTGCGGAGGCAAAGGGTTGCTCCGTGGCGCAGCTGGCGTTGTCTTGGTTGAAGGCTCAGGGTAGGAAGCCTGGAATGCCGATCATTGTACCGATTCCGGGTGCGCGCTCCGAGGCACGGGTGCTGGAAAATGTACAGAATGTTGAGCTGACAGAGGGTGACCTTGAGAAGATCGAGGTCATCCTCAGAAAGTATCCCGTGGCGGGCGCGAGATACCCCGCGGCCGCAGCGAGGTTGAATGAGTATTGAAAAGGGGTATCCCTCCAAAGATTTTCGCATGTTAAATTAGAAACTCGTTCCTTCCAAATTTGAGCCACATTTTCCAAACGTTCATTGACTCCTCATCGGAGGATGTTAGTATTTTCTGTACAGTGGCTCGTTGCCCGGGGGCTTGTATTGTCGACAGTCGAAGCATCTGGTCATGAAGAGATGACTCTAGGGGGCCCAACGGCAAGCCTTGTGATTTGGCCACGTACAGATGCCAGAGTAGAGTATTTAAAGTCAGCTCAAAAGGTTGTTGAGATGAGAGAACTTCACTTGAGCAAGAATAGAGTATATCTAAGGTGAGGTCGATGGCCTTCCGATTCGACTCGTACAGCAAGTCGCCAAGTAAGGTATGATCGGCTGATGAGACAAGTAGTTGAGTGCACTGCTCCCGCACAATCTTAGCTAACAAGAGACGAACGACACGAACGTTGTTCCAGTTGGTCAAAGACTTGCAATCAGGGTAGATGTCCACCCCAGTCAAGGACATATTTAGGGGCATCGGGCTTCGCCTCCTCGAAACGAAGGCTGGTAGCCAACATGTCAACTCTTCGAGTTCGAGATCAAGCCGTTCTGCACTGAGTATATCTTCTTCCGGTCGATGGCCCAATGTGACAGAGTTCTCCAGCTGCACATAGCGCAGCATAATGTCCCAAAACCTCCACTTCAGGGATGATGTATCCACAGCATTATCGAGAGCCATCCGTCGCAGAGACAAAAACTCCAGCGGGATAACACAACTTCTTGCGAGACAATCGAGTACCACAAGCTCAGTGAGGTGCAGAAGCATGGTAGGACTGCGCTTGTCCGCGAACTGCCCTGTACCCCTCAAGGACATCAATTCACAGGCTCCACTCAGATGGCTGCGAGGAACAACCAGGTCATCATTTTCCAGGTTTGCAAGCCGTTCAAAAACACACATTAATATGACTGAGAACAGAGTCCTGTCGAGCATGACCTCGTCTGGTAGTTGGAGCGCCTTGCGAGTCATCCTCAGAGCTGATCCGTACATGGCCCGAGCGTGGTGGAGAGCGGCATGGCACCCGTGCGATAAAGAGAAGTTTACCATGAAGACAGCACGGGTGACCGTCTCTAGAAGCGGGATATCATGAACTATCGGCGGATAGAAGATCTGCATGAAGGAGAAAATACTTGTTGCTGGCATTGCGCGAACGTATTGCGAGATATAGAGGCCCTTTGCGCGCTGCATGATTGTGGGGAGCAGCCTGGTTGACAGCGGACTCGGAGAACTTGAATGTCGAATTGTCTGGTTCACCGACA